TAGCCGTCAGCGCCGAGAGCTGCAGCTGCCATTGCAGGCTGCCAGGCATCCCCTGCCCGGGGAAATGCAGAACCTGCACAGGAGGCTCTGCCTGGCCTGCCTTTCGCTGCCAGCCTCCCCACGCCCTTGTAGTAGGTGGCTAACAACATCCAGGGTAGCGAATATCGACTCCATTAACACGCAAACCTGGCATCGCTGTCATAAATTTGGAAAGGAATTCAGCAAATAAAGGTGGCTCCTGCTGGCCTTACCTTGGGTGCTCCATATGGAGCTGTGCCTCGGAGGGCACGGCGAGTAGACAGCGTGGTGCTGGGGCTGCCCCCGCAGCTGGGAATCCTCCCTGGGGTTTTTAAATCCTAAGCTTCAAGCTAAAGTGGCACTGGTGACACCGCACCTTGAATACTGTGTTCAGTTTTGGGCCCCTCACTACAAGAAGGGTGTTGAGGTGCTCGAGCATGTCCAAAGGAGGGCAATGAAGCTGGTGAGGGGTCTGGAGCACAAGCCTTATGAGGATCGGCTGAGGGAACTGGGAGTGTTCAGTCTGGAGGCTGAGGGGAGACCTTATCGCTCTCTACAACTACCTGAAAGGGGGTTGTGGTGAGGTGGTGTTCGTCTCTTCTTCCAAGTAACCAGTGATAGGACAAGAGGAAATGGCCTCAAGTTACGCCAGGGGAGGTTTAGACTGGATATTAGGAAAAATTTCTTCACCGAGAGAGTGGTCAAGCATTGGAACAGGCTGCCCAGGGAGGTTGTGGAGTCACCATCACTGGAGTTGTTCAAAAAACGTGTGGATGTGGCGCTTCGGGACATGGTTTAGTGGGCATGGGGGTGTGGGTTAATGGTTGGACTTGATGATCTCGAAGGTCTTTTCCAACCCTAATGATTCTGTGATTCTGTGATTTAAAGAAGTGGTCAGATGTGGTGGCAGGATGGTGATGCTCCCATCTGGTGAGGGTAGCAAGGAGACCTCTCTTCTCAGCCGTGAGCTGCTCGGAGGTCACGGCCAGTGTCGGTGTGGGGACACGGAGCTGTAGCTTGGCTCTTCTGCTCTCCCAGCAATGGGAGGACAGAAGTAAGCCGGCAATGTGTGGCTCTGTGTCCTACAAACCCCCAGCCCTTGGAAAATATTAGCAAGAGCCCCCTCTCTGGGGGCTGCGGCACCCAAAGGCGAGGCAGAAACTTAGCAGCTGTGGTGTATCCTGTGTTTGCATTGCACAAAAACCGTCTTCTGCCACGGGCTGCAACTCTGTTGCACCAAGGGGCAGATCCTGCCCTCAGTGTCCTCAAAGCAAGATGCTCCTGGGTGAGTGGCACGGCCAGGAGCTCCAGCTGCCAAATCCTCCTCTGCCTTCACAACCCCATCCCCAAAACATCTGCTTCAAGACTTGGCAATATGGTGGTCTTCATCTTCCCCCCACTCCTTGAGGTCAGTGGACGAGGTACCTGCCTTTGGCAGCCGAACAGGGAGCAACCAGCTGGGAACCCACTCTCCAGCCCCTCTCCTCCCGCCACAGCCTGGCAGGAACCCTCACCCCACCCTGGGTCCGAGCTCACAATGCAGTGCCCGGGCAGGACCCCAGCCCTGCCCGTGATCCCTCAGCCCTACCTGCACTCCCCTGGCCCTGCCCATGCTCCCCCAGCCCTGCCTGCACTCCCCCAGCCCTGCCTGCACTCCCCACAGCCCCACGGTAAGGAGCCGTGTGAGACGCGCACTACACAACACAGCTGCATTTTGGGGAGGAAGGCTCATCAAGGACACAGAAGGACTTTTTTTTAGCAACGGTATCCCCCCAAATAGCTGTTGAAAGATCATTTCCCACAGCAACGTGGAGAACCGAGGACAAGCACTAACTATATTTTCTTAGTTGTAATTCTAGCTTTTATTTCCTAGCAAGGATGCGAAGCACCTTCCTTTCCCCTCTACTCCCCAGCACCATGCTTTCCCCCATGCTGGGCTCCCTGGCACCTGCAGCACAGCAGGAACAGAAGCTCTGCTCTGCCGAGAAGGGAGAGATGCAGCAAAATCGCTTGATATGGATCAGTCCAGCGGATGAGGACAGAAGGGGGAGCCCAGGAGACAAAATCGGAGAGCATCCCAACCTGCTGGGCTCCAGCCAAGCTCTGGATGTTGATGGCGTTCATAGAAACTTGTGTTTTGTTTCTACAGCCACCCTTTGACGTTTCCTTATTGTTTGTGGGAGACCACTCTCACCTCCGAGTCCATGCCAGCATTCCCACTGTGCTGAACAGCGAGCCGTTCCACCGGCAGTGCCCAGAAATCGACATCGTGCCGCACTCCACCATTGTCCTCTCTGTATTGATGGGCCAAACTTCTTCTCCTCCCTTCCCTCCCTCCACGCTGGCCCTTTCCCTCCAGACCTCTGACACGCGAATCACCCCCCTGCTGTGCCACCATCCCCTGCCTGTTGTTCATGCTTTAAAACCCATGTCACTTTGGAAGCCACCTCCTTGGCAGCTTGCTTGCCTTACAAGCGCTTGTCCTGCCCTGGGCAAGTCTGCAGCATCTTGGTAGACAGAAACATTGTGGTTTCGACCCCTTTTAACAAGACACCTTCAGGACTGATATTTTTAGCAGTAAAGGAGCCTGAGATACGTTACTGCTGGGCATATGAAGTGTCCCTGGTGCACCCCGGGGACACCGGCCAACTCTCTGACTTGCTCCATCTTGTGAATGTTTTCCAAACTCCTGAGATATTTCCTAGCAAACAAAGGTTTTTCTAATTTGCTTAAACAACTGCTCCTGCCTCACACAGAACTGGCAGAGGAGAGGCCGTGAGAAGGAGCCTGGCAGGGTTTCGGCTGTATGGAGAAGGGGCTGCCTTTCCCTGTGCTCCCCAAGACCTCTGGCAGGCACGGAGACCAATGTCCACCACAGACCTGAACTGCTGAGACTTATCTAACATTTTCTAACAGGCCAGGCTATGCTGTGAGCCTATTTTCAGACAGTCCTGGTTTTAGCTATCTGGTATTTTTAGATATCTTCTGTTTGTTATACCCCTATTTTACCGCTCTGGAGCCAGACATCAATTACTGACTCGGGTGCCTATTAAAACATAGCTCACAAATAGACTGTTCTGCCAGTACCTGCCTTGGTAATTTCTCCCTGATTTATTACTGACAATCATTTGTTTTCCTCTCCAGCCACGAACAATATGCCCATTGTAAAATACCCCAGGGCTACAGAGCCGCTCTGGCGTGAATGGGACAGGAAAGCACAGAAATGTGGATTAAGACACACAATCTATGCTGTAAATGGGGATCAGTATACTGGAGAATGGCTGGACAACTTGAAACACGGTAAGATACACCGTTTTGAGAAAAAGTACCAATTTAAATGTCTTTACAGAAGTTCCTAGGGGCAGGGAGAAGTCAGTTGGTTGTATATGCTCCTGGAAGACCATTCATTCATGTATGACTATATATATATATGCCGTTGATAGATGTCATGCAAAAATGTGCTCAAACATATTTCTAATCGGTAACTTGAAGAGCTTTTGCACGCGCTCAGGGGCAATTACCTGAAATATCTAGTTAACAGACGTTTAAAAATCCCCTACAAACGCAGCAAACTGCAGTCAGCTCCACGCGCGGGATGTACGCTGGCTGCACAGTCCCTGGAGCTCTCTTGGCTCCTCACTTGGCTTCAGGAATATTCATTTATTCTTGAGTCATGGTGGGTGCTCCAGGAGACAAAGCAGGGGCAGGAGACCCTGACTAAGCCCTGAGCAGCCAGAGCAGGACAGGCTTGTTTACAAGCAGTAAACTGAGGTTTGGAAAGATATAACTGCGTTCAGCAAAGGCCACACAGGAAGCCCCTGATCAAGATTAATGATGTATCTGAGTCGGGAAGCTAAACGGAATCCCAGACATAAACCTGCCTTGGTGCAGGGAGCGCCGCCTCGCCTGAGCGAGTAGCCCATAAAAACCCTTCTCCTAACAACTGCGATGGTCTCCCCATTATCCCTCTTTATTAAACAGGTAAAGGCACCCAGATATGGAAACGCACCGGAGCTATTTATAGTGGTGACTGGAAGTTTGGGAAACGGGATGGTTACGGCTCATACAGCATTCCTGACCCCATAACCAAGGAATACAAGAAGGTGTATACAGGATGGTGGAAAAATGACCGAAAATGCGTAAGTGAGATTTACTGCACCTGCTGGCAATGAGGCAGCATGCCACAAATCATGGGCAAGAGTTGGGTGCACACATGGAAAAAGATCGCTTAAAATACTTATTTTTCAAATACTGAGGCTGAATTGAAGGGTTTTTGGGAAATGAATATGTGGAACAAGAAAAATGAAAGCAAGAGCAAAAGCCGTGGTGTTTAAGTC